CATATATTAAGAAGTTCGGCAAGTGAAATTTTTGAGTTTTTCGTAAATTTCACACCAAATTTTACATTTAGGCATAATTTGGATCGTAAAATCGAAATATGAAAAAAAAATGGTATATTATTTCAGAAAAAGCCCCATTTTGTGTCAAAAAACATATGTTAGAGCAATGCTATATATAAATTCAATATATATTCTAAGTCGCGCTTTTGAGACATGAAAAACACAATTTCAATTTCGTCAATCGGCCCAGTAGAACGGGAGATATAGAACTGTCTTCTTCTTCCCCCCTCTCACACTGTACAGTTAAAGCTATATCTAAGGGCTGGATATGATTACAGTTACGTATAGGTATCAATTACAATTACAGTATATATTTATATTTACCAGTTACAGTTATACAGGAACCGAACCTCAATTTCGTCATATGGTCGCTTGGTTTAGCGAATTTCTATGTTTTCTTGGCGTATGGTGAAAAAAATCAGAGGCAAAAACCTATGCCAATTTGGCAATATCCTTGCTAATTTAGCAATGTAACCATTTACCTCAATATTAAGTAGACTCTCCAAGTAATCTTATTTTTCTGGCAGAACATCACTCCTTAGGACTTTTCATGTTACATTACACGAAATTTGTTATAATTATAAAAAGAAGTATTTTATGAGAAAGAACAAAAATATCAATGGCTGATATCTACATTTTTTACAGTCAGTGAATGCTATTAAATAAAATGAGAGTGGCCGGCTTTAGCTTCAGAATGTATAACTTAAATGTATAAAGTGTAAGCTAGAATGTAACAAATTGGTAGACTTCACAATTTCAGACAAACCTACCTACGTGTTGGGTGCAAAATGTCAGAATGGACGCAAAATTATGATACTTATGGGAAGTGTGCTTTTGTGGTTTAAAGTTTAATTTCAACTGATTCTGATGCATTTTGCTTTAAATTAATCTTAAAGATGTAAAACGTGTTTTAAAAAGGAATTTTAAAAAATTGATTTTTGAAATTTGAAATCTATTATCTCTCCTTATATAAGATGTAAACATTTTCTGTAATTTACATTGAATCTAAGAGCAGGAGCTGTTTTCCAAATATTTTTATTAACTTAGCTAAAAATACTGAAAAAGAAATATTAACTCATTCTGCACTTTGAAGTTATTAAAAAGTTTTTGGATGCTTTTTATGTCTGTATCTTTGTCATCCAATGAAGTGTTTGTAATTTCTGAAATTACTTTAAACTGTGAACAGCAGTAATCAGTTATAGACAGTTTTGTTGCCTGGTCTTCTAGTGATTTGGGTTTGGGTGGTAAAGAAAAATATCTAAGGCCTTTTTCCTTGAACACTTGGATTCTTTAAGGAATTCAAAGAAATTTATTTTTACATATTAAATAAAAAGATCAACTTCAGGAATAAGACATCTAATTTCTTGACAATTATGTGTAAAGCTAAGGGTATTAAACAAAGCATAAATAAAAAGAGGACTTTGAGTATATTTTTCCCCATATGTTTCTGTGTCAATTAAGGATAACAAAACTCTTTCATGTTTTATTGCATCTTATCATTGTTGATTTCTTTGTATCACTATTGATTATCAGCAACAGATCTCTCTGTTGCATTCGTCATTTCATCAATATCTCTGTACCCCATCCAAGTAGTTTTCATTTCAGTTTTTGTTCCTTTAAAAAAACAAAAACTTATTATAAGATCATCAAGATAATTTTTTTTGGGGGGGTATGTAGATTTTTAAAGAATTGTTTCTTGCATAAACTTTTTCGAAAAAATATTGGTCTTCTGCAGAAGGATACCAGCTTCAAGAAAGGCTTTATATACGAGGGTAATTTGAAAAATAAGTTTCCCCTGTCGACTGTGGTCAGAGTTGTGTATGGATGTCAAAAAATAGAATGAGACATTAAAGATATGACATACCTTTATTTTTCCACATGGGTACCAAGTACATTGAGATATTTGTCATATCGCTTGATAAGCTTCAAAAAGCCTCCAGGAAAAAATAGGGCTTTGCATATGGAAGAAGTGTTGAACGGCTTGTTTCTGGCGTGAAATGGTGGACCCACGTCCTCCCCCGTCACAATCCGAACAGAAAGTCATTGCATTTCATGGCAACGCACGAGATGTTCCAGGCTGACCCCCATGCATTGTTCCTTGTGTTTCGAGGTCAATTGTCGGGACACCCATCGTGCTGACACTTTTCTGTATCGAAGAATGTCGTGGATGATGTTTTGAGCTTACTCGTGTGAGATTCCAAGTTCTTCTGCTACTTCTTCGATGGTGATACGCCGGTTCGGTCTAATCATGTCATCCACCTTCCTGACATTTGCATCTGTAGTGGTCGTGCACGTCCGTCCAGCTCTCGGTATGTCCTCCACTTACTGTTGCCATCACTGAATGTGCGACACCATCTCCGCACCATTTGCTTCGACATCACACCTGGCCCATAGACTTCCACGAGGCGGTTATGAATTTCTGTTCCTGATACTTCACGTGCCCATTCATAGCGGATAACCGCTCTCACTTCCTCCTTTGACCACCTCCTTCGACACACAAGGAACAACGCATGGGGGTCAGCCTGGAACATCTCGTGCGTTGCCATGAAGATGGCAATGACTTTCTGTTTCGGATTGTGACGGGGGAGGAAACGTGGGTCCACCATTTCACGCCAGAAACAAGCCGTTCAACACTTCTTCCATATGCAAAGCCCTGATTTTTTTCCTGGAGGGCTTTTTGAAGCTTATCAAGCGATATGACAAATATCTCAATGTACTTGGTACCTATGTGGAAAAATAAAGGTATGTCATATCTTTAATGTCTCATTCTATTTTTTGACTTTCATACACAACTCTGACCACAGTCGACAAGGGAAACTTATTTTTCATCTTACCTGCGTACATCACTTGCAAATTCATATTTTTTTAGATAATGATTTATTACAATTGCACTTAAAATTTTATGCTTTCTTTTTTCTGTTCTTGATTAGCAGATTTATGCTTAAATATTTCTAAGTATTGCAATACAAAATACTTTATTTTTCAAAACATAAATTTTTCGCAAAACTTGCTGAATGGGACCCTTTTATCCATTGAGGAAATATCTGATCTGAATTCTTATGTAAAATCATTTAACTTTTTACTTGCAGTAGTTTTATTTTAAATATGGTATGCATGGTGAAACAAAAGACTCAAATCTCTGTTCTGTTACCTAATGATAACTTCCTTAGCGCTAAATATTTGAAAGGCAAACACATTTCTTGCACTATCCTTGGATTACTAGATACCCTTCTTCAGCTTCCATTCGCATAGGTAGTTCATGTACATCATCGCAGCCAGTGAGCAATCAACTCAGATTACATCATGTGATCAATACCATTCATTGATAAAATACTAAAGTAAAAGCACACATAATTAAATAATCATGTTTTTTTTTTTTTTTTTTTTTTTTTTTTTTTTTTTTTTTCAAAGAATGCAAAATTATTTTGTTTGGAAACATGGAGTCTATCATTAAATAGTGAAGAATCTGTATGTATGTTTCCTCACATTTTGAGAAAAACGTCAGCACCTAGAGGCACCAAATTATGAATACACATCATAGTCCTCCACCTGAGCATGTGCACCTTGAAGCCCAAATTTTGAATTTAAATTTTGTTTTTTATTTATTTCATGTTTTGACTTAAAAGATATGTATTGTCACTCAGCAAAATGTAGTAGATTTATCTTTCAAATTTAATTAACACAATAATATAAAAGAAATATGTTGCCACCCTGAAATAAAATATTTTTGTCTTCCACTCAGCAGTGCATTGTCATTCAGCAAAGGTGTAAGGAATTTGAAAGCAGTAAATGTAAATTTATTTCAATTATTATTAATTACTAGCTGGACACATGCAATTAAATTAACTAGATTCATTAAATATATGTATATAATTATGGTAACTAAGGAATTTGTGATAAGTTAATCCCTAAATTGTATTTGAAAAAATAAATTGTGAACTAAACAAAGTATGGCATTGCATGAGCATTTGGATTCTAATAATGAAATAAACTGATCGTGTGTCTGGCCAACACTGTATTTATTAATATTTTGCATTATAAATATTATTATGTGTTTGTTCCATGAATGTAAATTAGTCTAAAACTTTGACAAAATTTTGTCTTAGTAGTTGAATTTGTTGTATTTGATAAAAATTAACAAAATTACATGTATTGATGTGACTAATAAATGAATAAAGAAAATATGTGTAGCATTTTTCATGCCATACTTACACATGAATTGTATATTAAATGATTCTTGGGCCATAGCATGTGTTTCACACTTTTCTTAATCAGGAAAATTAGTTTTTTCATTTTCAGATATGATAAATATTTTATCATACATGTGAATTAAAATGGAATGAGGATTGTTGTTTTGATAAGTTCTCAGTGAAGTTAGAGGAGTAATATATAATATTTTGCTAAATGTAAATATGAAATGTAATTTTTTTGTTGGAAATATTAACTATTTTAATTTTAAAAAAATCATTTAACATTCAGTGTATGAAAAAACAATATGTTTTAAAAATTTAACAAGATGCTATTAAACTGTTATGTTTTGAAATCTTGAACAAAAATTAATATTAATCTCTAATTCCATAATTACTAAAAAACTTGATCTTGGGATTAATTTAATTTTGTATTCTTATTTATTTATTGTATCAAATATTAATGCCTGAATTATTCCGATCATAAAAATTAGAAGTTATAAAAATGTTAATTTGAAGCTTATTAAGGCACTTCACAGTGGATACTTGGTTTCATTAATTTTCTAATTTTTTACAGCAGTATAAATATCATTAATTTCATAATATTGCTTAACTTTTATTAATTATATTGATTGCACACAATGTACACATTTTTATCAGCATTGAAAATTTATCATGCTAGTAAAATGTGCATTGATTAGTGTTTGATTTATATTTATTTACAATTAACACATATATATCATATTTTTACAGTTTCTAAAATGGATGTTCAGTAATCCAGAAGCATGTAACTTATTCCATGGAGAAGTGTGCAAAGCAAAAATGCAACTAGTCATGAAATTTTTCATTTAACTGTTATAAATGTATCTTGTAAATAGCATTCATCAAAAATATTTTAAATGTCATTTTGTATATAGAGAGTTGTATCATCATTATAACATGTTACAAAATGCTGAGTTTTATCCTGTTTTTAATATTACTGCTGATTAATTTCTGAGATAATGCAGAGGTGAAGAAAATGTGAAAGATGTAGATTTATAGTCACAAGTTATATATTTGCTTTATTTAGTATTTTACAGTGATTGAGCAGTTTTAAAGGTTTTGGACAAATGAATTTTAATGTTATTTATAAATTATTATTAACTTCAAAAAATGCATGTTTTGTTTGCACCATACTTAAAGAGATGAACGCTAAAAATTAAAATGTGAAAGATATATTTGTTATTCTACTTCCTGTATCAGAAATGAGAAAAATGCTGCATTTAATCCTCCTTCCAGTTCTTATTGTATTGTAACCAATTTCGTGGATTAGGTGTTAATTTGCATGATTTAAAACACACTTGAACTTTCAGATTTTATATTTATTTGAGTAAAATTAATTATTTTAAATTAAAGCTAGTGTTCAGTTTAAATCTTATTTTTTCAATATTTTCATATATCCTAAAGTCATGCCCCCTTTTTTATTTAGATGTGTACATTCTCTCCCTCTTCCCCCCCCCATACATTACAGCAGTTCTACAGCACATTACAAATGTGTACATTTTTTAATTCTTTCATTTAAAAACTATTCCCATTTTCGATATATATATGTATTAAGACACAATAACACGCCGAATAAATACCAATTCAGAAGTCAAACAACAAAAATCAGCGTTAATTCGGTAAATATAACGCTGATTTTTGTTGTTTGACTTCTGAATTGATATATATGTATATTCATAGTTTGTAAATCTGTAATTGTATTATATTCTTTATTGTACTCGTAAAATATTCTAATGTTTATTAATATAAACTGAAAACCTGAAATATTTGCTGTGATAGTTCTTAATTCAGTACTGAAAAATAAGTACTTTATCTATTTATTTTCTGTTAAAAAATATTCATTAAATATTTTAAGCATTTTCAGCATAAATTTTAAATTTCTCAGTACTTTGTTTTGTTCTAGACCAATTTCATTATAACAATATTCATAAATACATGTATGCAAGTTATTATTGCTATGATTATAGTTAATGGAAGTTGACTGCATGTTATCTTTTATTGATATTGTTCTTATTACTTCTACTTTAAGAGATTAAATTTTAACTCACAACCAAACTATTAAAAATAAATTCCAAAACTATTTTCTTTTCAGAATCATTGCTGCATTGTCTTCACAATTGTTGTCTTTGAAGTATTTAAGTGATAATTAATATAAAATTTTTGTGTTGACTGTGTTAAAGTTCTATTGTATATGAATAATAAGAGAAAAAACCAGAGCTGAATAATCATTCTTAAATTTGTGTAGATTCACTTATACAGGATGCTTCCTAAAGGATAGGGTTCTATTATAGGAATTTTAATAATTTACACAAATGGAGAGATATGTAAACAGGCTGAGTAATTTGTGATAAAAATAATTTCCAGGATGCAGATTTGTAAAATTTGCAACTATCTTATGTATAGTTTGTAGTTTCTGTGTCTGCATTGCTGTTCACTTCGTCAAGAAACACATTATGTGTTAAATGTTCTGAAAGAAAAAATAAATAAAAAAAATACGTCCAAGATCCATAAAATAGGGAGATCAGCAAAGAATTTTAGTAACATGACTCATGGTCTTTTGTTATCCTTCTGCTTACAATGTTAAATGTTACAAATTTTCTCAATTATGTACGATATTATTGATTTTTTGAGTAGATAACAAAGGATATTTAATTTAAAACTCATTTTGTAATCATGTAATGAAGAAGCATAGCTGCCAACTTTTCCAGTTTTCCATCATGTCTCCCATTAGACCCAACCCTGATGATTTTCAGCATAATTTTCATACTAAATTTTATTTGATCTCAATTGTTTTAATCCATTGTAGGCATTTGTAGAATATATGATAATTTAATCAATGTTAAATCAGTTAATATTTATATTAAATCTTGGTTTATATCACCAATCGAGCTTATCCATGCAATCATATGTACATTAAATATTCATTTTATTTTTATCTTGTTTAAAAATTTTTAGATAAATTAAAGCTTTCATTCCATACTGAGGATTTTCTCGGGATAAAAGTGGAAGAAAATTGCAAAATATTATTAGCCAAGGAACATAAAATGTAGAATTTTTAATTAAATACCGATATATTTTGCACTATAATCATGTTGTATATAGTTGAATAACCTGAATCGTGCATTATAAAGCAAATTTAAGTCAGTTTGATGTTCTTTTGAAATGGTATCACCATTCAACACGAAAACCTCCCATAAACTCCTAAGAAAATCCCGGTGTTTCAAATTTCAAGGTTGGCAGCTATAAAATAGTAAAATTCCACAATAAACACAAATTTATTTTTAGAAAGCAAAAGGATGGCACTAGAAAATAATCTGAGTGATTGAATAAGACATGTGCTAATGTGATTTTTTAACTGCTTACCTTGGGTAACTTGCTGCCACAAAACGCTTCACATAATATTTGCATGCCCATAAAAGCTCTGACTAACTTTATGGTTAGCATTTTTATTTAAAATGCCCTGTATAGAATGTTTGGCTTTTAAAATTTTTATGTTTTTTATCAAGTGGATTTTCTGTATTTTTTTGGAAATGACTGTTTAATGATGTGATTGTTATGCATTGGTTTCTACTAATGTTTAACTCTTTATGATATTTATAAGTATTTTCATTCCTGTTTGTCTAATAAATTAATAATTTAATTGCTTTAGCAACTCGTGCATAATTTAATAATAAGTGATTAAGTTTTACAATGCATTTAATTGAGAAGTATTCAGAAAAGTCTTAGTAATGCATTTTAACATTTATAAAAGTTTTATGTAAAATTTGGGAATAGTGTTACATGATTTAGGTTATTTATATTTATTTATTTTTGTGTAAATGCCTAAGTATTTGACTGTGAAAATTTTACTAAAATAATTGTAAGATTTCCCATTTCTCATATTGTTATTAGAAATCTTTTGAGACCTCTTTCTTAGTATTTATTTGCTTTTGTTTTGTCTATGAGGGAACATATTGAAGCATCCTTATTTTAGGGTATAATTTTTGAAACATTATATATTAATATATCTGTAACAATATTGGTATTAAGATTTAAGTACATAATGCATTCTGAATGTAAATGATATATTTTTCTGCATGAATTTTTTTTAAATCATGTTTGCGAATAATTTAATTGCTTTTAATGTACCTTTCTCTAAAGTGTCTCTTGCATTTTTTTACTGGAAATTTTAGAATACGTTTTTTTTTTTTTTTTTTTTTTTTTTAATGCGTTGTTTGTATCAGATATGAAGTTTGTTTTATCCCTATTAATTTTTGTTTCAAGTGAGTTGTGTTAAATCAGACTTTTGCTAAAAAGTTGGGTTTAACTTCCTAAATTTTCTGTCTTGCTAAAAAATTTAAATTTTCCTACAATGGCCACCAAAGATGTGTTTGATCATCTGAGCAAGTTATGTTCAATAATGATATTTATTCTAAGAAATAGTTGTCTTTATATGTGACTACTTTTTTTTAAACAAATTAATTAAAAGTGCATGCATAAAAATTAAGTACAAATTGCTCTTTTCATTATTATTACTGAATATTTGTTTGAAAATTTTTTCCAATATTAAACCAAGAAAATATACCTGTAGATACATATATAATGTACCTTTACCTATAGATAAGTTCTTTATATGTCAATATTTTTCTTTCAGTAAAGTTCTTTAAATGTGGAAAGTTAAATAATTATTCATCTGTTGTTAGTCATGATGTTTTAACATCTTGTGGAAAGTAAACTTTATGTAGCAGAAGTGGTTTAAAAAAATTCTGATCCCCCAAGCTGTAATTAAGAATTGTATCATTAATTACTAAAATAATATTTCTAATAAGAATAGTAATCTGATTTATCAAACTGAAATTCAGTTGGGATGAAAAAATACTTTTTCTATTTTATCTAATTAAATTAACCTTCATTGTCTCTCTGTCTCTCTATATATAAAATACTAAGTGTATTCAATACAGCTTTTAAACAGATACCAAGAGTGATGTTCAGCTATGTTTACACAACTTTTTAAAAAATGAATTAAACATATTTTATTGAATTCTGTTTCCTGATTGGCAGTTGTGATCATTTTTGGTTAACTTTAGATTATTGAATGCATGTGTTTTTCATATACAAAAGATATTCTTAGTTATCATTATGTGTATTATATATTTATTCTAATGAAATGAAGTAATTAAAATCATGCTTTATACAATATGTGTTTATCATTATCTGTTTTAAAAATTATTAGGGGAAAAAATACCTGTCTGCCTTTATATAGGTACAAAGCAGTCAAGGGGGGGGTATTGTAAAACACTTTAAAATGAATTACATTTTGTATAGATTTTTATTGCAATTTTTACAGTACAAAAAAGTATTAAAAAAAGGAAAAAGAAAAATTGAACTTTTTATATAAATTTATTTTAAGCAAATTATGCTTTTTAAAAAATATTATGATTCCGTTTCATTACCAGTCCTTTACAGTTTTTATTTATTTTTTTTCATACATTCTATAAGAAAAGATCACATCTTTTAAATTGAATGAAATTATGTACAGATGGAGGACAAAATAATACGAACACCTGTAAAATAATGGAAAATCTTTATTAATAGACCACCCATTGACTGAAGTACAGATTGAATGTGACGTGGGATAGGTAAAGCATAAAGGTCATGGACAATATTTAAAGGAATATTAAGCCATTCCTCCTGCAGAGCAGTCTCTAATTGCGAAAGTCCGGATGGAGGTGGAAATCGGGAACAAAGTTTGGACTCCAAATATGTATATTCAATAATATTCAAGTCCGGAGACTGAGAGGGCCAAGCGAGATGTTCAATTGCATCGTCATGCTCTTCGAACCATTCTTGAATACACCTAGCAGTGTGGATAGGGTTGATGTCGTCTTGAAAAAGCTGTCATTCCTCAGGGAATGCAGTCTGGACAAAAAGATGGACATGGTCCCCTAAGAATGCTTAGATAGTGATTGGATGTGATACTCCCATGCAGAATAACAAGTGGCCCAAGACTGCACCAAGATATCGCACCCCATACCATAATGGCACCACCCCCATGCTTCACAATCGGCAAGAGGCAGTCAGGATGAAATGCTTCTTTGGGCAATCTCCAGACATAAACGCGTCCGGTCGTCTGAAATAGGATGAATGATGATTCATTTGACCATATTACTTGTTGCCGTTGCTGTGAGGGCCAGCCTGTGTGATATCTGCACCATTGGCGTTGCTTGAAAGCATTAGTTGCTTCACCAAGAGTTTACGAATAATATTTCATTATTGAATTTACATTTATGGCAGAATTGCCACCCTGCCATAAATGTTCGCAGCATGAAGTTCCCTTTTGACAGTTTTTGTTGAAACGGGATCCTGGAGATGACTGTTCATTTCGGATTATCTCGGATAACGATTGCTTGTGCTTTTGGGCTACTATGCACTTCATGACCCATCTATCCCTATCGGCCACTGTTGTGCTTTGAAGAAGTCATCTTACCCTCTTTCGTGTACGCTGTCATAACGGCTGATACTGTACTCCTTGCACACACCACAAGGTTTGCTATTTCCGTAACCAATGCGCATTAATGCGCTCCAA